TGCCATTTTTTTATTAAAAAATTTAGATTTGCTAGATGGTGGTGGCTCACGCCTTTAATTGCAGCACTTGGGAGGCAGAGGCAGGCAGATCTCTGTGAATGTGAGGCCAGCCTGGTCTACAGAGTGAGTTCCAGGACAGGCACCAAAGCTACAGAGAAACCCTATCTCAAAAAACAAAACCAAAAAGATTATATCCATTTACTTTTGTTTTGTGTATGAATGTTTTGCCTGCACGTGTGTCTGCATCATCATTGTGCAGTGCCTGTGGAGGCGAGAGGAGGGCGTCAGATCCTTTGGAATGAGTTACAGACAGCTGTGAGGGCCATGTGGATGCTGGGAACGAAACCTAGAACCTCTAGGAGAGCAGTGAGAAATCACTGAGCCATCTTTCCAGGCACAAATATAAATTTTAATTGTAATTCTAAATAACATATCTTTCCCCCTAATCCCTTTCACGTTTCCAAAGCCGCTAAACACGAAGCCTCATGAAGCTCAGGAACGGGGCTTCTACCAGTGCTCAACTTTCTAATCTGAAGTTATTATTTCTATCAGATAACTCGGGATACTTCAACAAAGGCAGATACAATTCAGATGCCCTGAAATGTACCTAGGAGAGACAGATTAAAGACTCAGCAGGGTGCAGTCAATGGAAGAGCTCTTCTGGGCAGGCGTGAGGCCCCTGGACCAAGCTCTAGCACTCAGAACACAAGAATTAGCGTGGAGTTTTTTCTAACATGCTGGAGTTGTTCTTCAGACCTGACTATTTAAACAAACTGATAAAACCACTTGGAGGCAAAACAAAAATTTAAAAACAATCTTTGACAAGAGTTCAACAGTCAAAGCTGCCAGCTGCCGGCTGCCCTGGTAACGCCTGTTCAACTGAGTGATGTGGACAACTTATTTCACTTCCTGGACCTAGGTTTCCTTGACTGGTGTTGGAGCATTTAGTAAGGTTATTTGGCAAGTCTGGAACCTCAAAGCCCTTGATGAGCAGCAGTGTAAAACCTCCTGTGGGAAGAATCCTTGTGCTAATTGACAGCTGTCTGAGAAGTCTCCTAAAGACCTGCCCAGTGTGTAACTTTCAATTTTGTGGCTAAAGGCCACATTGCTAAATTACATAGAATGTGTGTATCAGCTGCTCAGGGAAAATGCTCCTGTAATTTAGTGGAAGAGTGACAGGCTTCTGCTAATCTCCTGCACCCAGGCCTGCATTTTTATGCACATAAATGAGTGCTCTGTCTCCAGTGCCACACGGCCCAGACATACTTAAAATGATACCTACACAGACCCTGCAGACTTGACCTGATGTGGAATTTCTCTCTGTATGTTGTGAATGACACTGGTTAATAATAATAATAAACCTACTTGAGCCTGTGATAGGGTAGAATAGAGCTAGGTGTGTGTGGGGGGGATGACTAAACTGAATGCTGGGAGAAAGAAGGCGGAGTCAAGAGAAACCATGTAGCCCCACCACAAACAGATGCTGGAACTTTACCTGGTAAGCCACAGCCTCGTGGTGATACACAGATTAATGGAGACGGGTTAATTTAAGCTATGAGTTAGCCAGAAATATGCTTAAGCTATTGCCCAAACAGTATTGCAAATAACATGGCTTCTTTGTGATTACTTTGGTTCTGAGCAGCCAGAAACGAACAAGTGGCCTTCTACAACACTGACCCAAAGCGAGGCTGTCCCTCTGCTCGGATTCACATGATATACCAATGTAAAAATCGAGCCTGGGATAGTATCACGTACCCCAAGACTTGAGTATGTCTGGGTCATGTGGCAATGGGGACACAGCACTCACTCTGGAGTGGCAGACCTCAACTCGAATTCTTCATCTATTCTGAAAAAAATCTTGTGAAGTCAAAGGAAAGACTGTAATCTCAGCACTTGGGAGGTTGAAGAAAGCAGAGAACAGTAAATTCAAGGACAGCATCACTACATAGCAAGACCCTTCCTCAAAACAAATCAATGAACAAAAGCCAATGGGAACCAAAATAGAAGGCACAGTGGCTGACATCTATATCCCAGGATTTGGGAGGCTGATGCAAAAGGCCAGCCTGGGTTTCTTAGGAAACAGACCTTGCTGAGTGTGGTGGTAAATGCCTTAACGCTAGCCGAGGCAGGCAGGATCTCTGAGATCCAGGTCAGCCTGGTCTATATAGCAAGTACCCGGACAGCCAGGACCACACAGAGAAACCCTGTCATGAAAATCAAACAGAAAAGTTTAAGAACTATAGTGAGCAGACCTTGCCTCTTAAATAAAAAAGTACACACTTTTAAAAAAAAGTATGTGTGTGTCTGGATGGTTTGGCAGGTAAAGGTGCATGCTCTCAATTGACCTGGGGTATAAGGAGAGGACTAACTCCACCGGCTGCCCTCTGGTTTCCACTCAAGAACCCCACACCATATAGATAAAGTCTTGCAAGCGGGACAAGCCTGGGGTCCTCTATGCTTGTTTTCACTTGGTAAAACGGGATGGTTAGTCCCTTTAGAGAGCTTTTGAGGCGACAAATCCAAGAAAATGAAACTGGGGATGCAGTTCATTTGAGAATTGCTGATTTACTATGCTCAAAGTTCTGGCTAGGTTCAATCCCCAGCATGGGGTGGGTGGGTGGGTGGCCGGTGGCTAGAAGGAAGCATTTGTGGGCAGCTGCACTCCTGGGCTTTCCTGACTGGTGCACTTCTCGCCCCCTGCAAAGAAGCTACTTCCCTATCCTTTTCTTTCTCAGGGGAAGAGGTGGTAGTGTTTTCAAGACAGGGTTTCTCCGTGTAGCCCTGGCTGTCCTGGAACTTGATCTGCAGATCAGGATGATTTCAAATTCAAAAATCCTTGTGCTTCTGCCCCCGGAAAGCTGGGATTATTAGGGGGCTCAAATAAAGAAGCTATGCTTTTGCAGCCAGTGGAGGTTACTACAGAGTCACAACTGGTCAAACACAGAAAACAAGTGACTGTGGATACTCACCCCCCTCCCAAAGGGGCATCTATAACATAACTATTACAGCCAACGTTGAGGGGACACCGTGGGAGAAGGGGAGGAGAGAGGGTAAGAGACGGAGGACCAGGAGGAATGCTGTAGCCATGTCTTCTGGACCTGGCAAGCCCAGGATGCCCGCGCCCCAGTGCTCAGCCCTGCACCCACGTGCATGTGGCAAACACTGGTGGGAAGCAGTAGGCTTTATGTATATTATATTTATATAGTTATACATATGTGTCATGTATTATATATGCTATAGAAGATGCCGTGCGTTTGAGAGAGGGTGGGGTGGAGACGCAGGAGGAGTTGGAGGGAAAGAGTGGGTGTGACCATAATGTATTATACTTACGTATGAAATTCTAAAAATAAAAAGGAAATCAAACATTTTCCTTGGTTATATGTAAAAGTCAATCCTTTCCCTTGTTCCGTTTAGGCCACTAAAACTTTGTAAAAGTGACTTCGTTCTCACTTCCTTTCATTCACAGACTTCATCAGGGGCCACAGTCCAGTGACCTGCAGGGTCACAGCCTGGCCAGGGCACACCCTCCCCAGCGTGGTACCTTATCTCTGTGAGCAGGGAAGCAGGAAACAGAGCCGAGCTTTCCTGTCTCTCGTTCTTGCCTGTCTTGGCTGTCTTGGCTTTCCAGGGTGTGACAGTCACCTCTCTGCTAGCCTCTGCAGGGACAGCTCGCCCAGCCCGGGCTGGAAAGCTCGTCTGTGTGTTTCAACACAGTAAAGTCCTCCACACGTGAACAGGACACACGAGTCAGCACTCAGGAGCCACAGACTTCATTACGGGTGCTTACTTTAAAACTCCCAAATAAATCTGAACAACTAGTTTGATATTTTGCTTACATACTCCTCACCAACTTATGAGAACTGAGTAAAAGAGAAAGGTTTGACACCAAGACCCACACGAGGGTTTGTTCAGCCCACAGACTGGGACTTGGACTTGGCAAACAACAAGATTAGTTTAGTTTTCTGTGATTTGCCTGGAGCAGCTGACATAGATTGTTAATTTTCCCCAATAATTAATTGCTTTGTTTCAGTGTTGAAGAACTTGAGATAAATCTTCTACCACAGTAGAAAGAAATTCTATTACATCTGCAATGTTTAGAGATTGAATCCCGGAAGTATATGTTTGTACGGAGTAATAATCTCCGTTACGACGCCAATGCTTTTGAATGTGGCCTAGATATGTATATCCGTGTAGGCAGAGGCCGCTTGTTCGTTCCCGGCTGCCCAGACCCGACATAACCACACAGAAACTATACTAAATAGAGCACTGCTTGGCCTACTAGCTCAGGCTCTGTCAACCTGTCGGCAATGCTAAAAACGAAGGGTGTGAGGCCAGTGAGACAGCTCTGTGGGTAAAGGCACCAGCATGGTGGGGCAGCCCGAGGTTGAGAGGTGAGAACCGCCCCCCACAAGCTGACCTCTGACTCCCACCCTCATCCGAGTAAAATGTAATGAAATTTTTAGAAGGTCAAGGCTACAGACTGAGCAGACTCTCAAATGCCATCTTGCACAAAACCAGAAAAACTTAAAAACAAAATTCTTCAAGTTCTTACAACTCTGAAGGACACCAAAAGACAATTAGGAATTTTTCCTTTAAGATTTGGATCTAATTTCTGTTTCTTCCATTCAGCAGAATCTGATTAAATTGTTCTCTTCCCCGTATATCATCTGTCTATCTACTATCTGTCTGTCTATCTACTATCTATCTATCTACTATCTTCTATCTATCTATCTATCATCTATCTATCTATCTATCTATCTATCGTCTATCTATATTTCTCTATTTTTTTGGAGGCAAGGTCTTTCTACATAGCCCTGACTGTCCTGGTATTCATTACACAGGCCAAGCTGGCCTTGAACTCACAGAGATCCTCCTGTCTCTGCCTCTCAAGTGCTGGGATTAAAGGTGTGCGCCACCACACCCACCCCTGATTACCATTCTCCAACACTCTGAATGAGAATGATATTTCTGTCCTCATCAGGCAGACCCCAGTCACACACCTGTTATCATCTGCTGCGCGTCATAGGGTTCCATGTAGCCGTCGTTTTCACCCACTCTCTCCGCGTCCCTTTGACCTTTTGTCCGTTTGGCATCATATGGGTCAGCGTAGTCTTCTAAAATGATGACCTGTCCAACGAGAAAGGACAGTTGATAAGGATTTCCCAGACAGGAAAATGGCAACAGCATCAAAATGGCTGCTGAATGCTCCCACAGGTCCAACGAGTCAAAACCTCTCATCAGTTCTGACAGCTTTTGTAGTTGATCACGTATCTCTGCAAGACAAACTTTCTTCTGTGCCTTGCTTGTGTGTTAAGAGAGCGGAAGGGTAGACAGTGGGTAGGGGAGGGTATCTGGGGCCTCAGTGCATGGAGAAGAATTGTTCTATCACAGACTGGCAGCTCCAAGTCTCCTGCCAGCTAAGCAATACAGACCCAGTGAGTCACTTCATAGAACCAAGGTGATTAAAAAGGAGTCCAACACCTGCTTCCTGGCCTCAAGGATTTTTACAAGCTCCAAAGAGATGGGCATCACAGGTTAGCACCGAACAGTACCCCAGAAGTTTCGGGTTCCATAATCCACAGGGAGAGTGATTTAGCAGCTACGACAGACAGAACTTTGATGGTATTGGGTGCATGGAGGTGTTCTGTGTGCATGGCACTTCTGTTCTGGAGTGGCTGCTAACACTACAGGGGTGAGACCCCGACTCAGGGAGGTCCCTGGTCCCTGTTCCACAGTCTCTGGCAGAAAGCTCACGAGGAAGTAATTCAGAAAGTTAAGGGAGAAGTGAAGAAAAGGGGACAGACTGGAAGAATCTGCCACCTCGGAGAAGACAGCCTAAGAAATGCCAGTCACCCACAAGTGACACCCACAAGAGGGGACTGTGACTGCCACTAACTCCATCCCATCCTCCTTGAAACCTGCTCCACATGCTGTAACTCGGATACATCAAGGAAGGTAGGAGGTGACACTCAGTCCTTGCCCAACAGTGAGGCACGCCACCCAGTTATATATGAGATGCTTCCAGCTCCATCTTCCCATGGCTCTGCTCAGTGCCTGCAACAGGACAGGCACACAGATCTCTGTAAACTCTTGAATGGAGCAATGGACAAAGGCACCCAATACATGCCACCTCACACAAGTTCCCGGCAGTCTAGGTCAGTTTGTTGAAAGGTAAGAAGAAATTTAAGCCCCTCACCAGGAAGCGGTTGCTTGGGCTGAAGCCTAAAACCTGGGTGGGAGCTCTTCTCTCTCCCCATTCCTCACAGGGCAGAAAGCCCAGCTCTGCCCTGCATGGATGGAGAGTTAGCTTACAGGTCCCCCCCCACCCCCCTTACCTTTCCCACTCTGGACAGCACCCAGAGCCCTCTGGTGACTAAGATGCCGGAAACACCTTCTTCTCTCCTGATCTGCAATTTCCTTATGGGCATTTCCTCGTTAAGGACGTTGAGCCCCCCCCCCCCCCCATCCTCTCCCCAGTGCATGGCCCTTACTCTACAGCACAGCAATAATCACAGAATGAATGGAAGGCCTGTCTTCTTGGCGATGCTGGAACTCTGAGAGGCTTGGGAGATGGGAACTCACACTTCACAGTTCCTCTGTGTGCTCAGGAGTCTACAGAAGTCTAGCCTTGGTACCCCTTGATGACAAACTCGAAAACACACCTATAAAAGGGCTGATTTCTATCCCTTCCCTTCAACTGCCCTTCTAAACCCACGAACAAAAACCAAACACAACGAACAATGAAGTCAAGGTCTTGAAGCCTGGGCAAAAATCTTTCCAAAAAAAAAAAAATTAAGTCTAATGATTTTTAAACGGTCACTTGGGAGTCAGAATGGACTCAGGAGAGGACCTTGGAAAACATCTTGAACTTATCTTACGCATAAGGAATATTGGGATTCAACAGGCTCCCGTGTGCCCCCAGCACTGAGAGGTAGGTAGAGACGCTGGCTTCCTACCGTGTCTTGCTGTTTCATTATCTTGGCCTTGTCCAGCTCGGGGCCCAGGGAGGACGGTGAAGAGGACGCAGAGGAAGAGGAGCTGCTAGAGCTGCTGGTGCTGCCGCCACCCGGGTAGCCGCTCTTACCATTCTTCTCCTGTGTGTCCACCTTGATGAGCCTGCTGATGTAGGTGCTGCAGCCCGCGCTCTTGGCCACCGCGCCCCGGTGGGGCTCCTCCTCAGTGGTGGCAGCGGTGGCAGTGGCGGTGGCCCGGGAGTTCTTGCGACCCTTGCCGGCCGCGGCCTGGATCAGACCCTGCAGGCTGTCCCGAGACAGCCGGCTGTCCTTGAGGGGTCCACCGCCCGCCCTGCTGCCCCCCAGCTCGGCCGCCGAGTTCTTCCGGCTCTTGCCCGGGGCGGGCTCCGCGCCGCCGGTCTCCGAGTTCTTGCGCGGCTTGCCGCCCGCGCCCCCGGGCCTGGCGCGCTCCGACGCGGTCTTCAGGGTCAGCGGGAACTCCTTGAACCACTTGGCTGCCATCAGGGGACCCGGGAGCGTCGAGGCCGCGGAGCAGACGAGCGAGGAGGCCCAGCCGAGACACCGAGTGGCGCCAGGGGCCGGGGGCCGCCGCATTCCCCGGGGCTGGGCGCTGGAGGCCGCCGCGAGCCCCTGGCCGTAGACGCGCGCCCGGCAGGGTGGGAGCCTGGGCGCGGAGCTGGACGCGCGGGCGGGCGGGCGGCGGGCGCGGGGGCGGATTGCCCTGTCCTCTGCGCTCCCGCTCGCTGCCGCCGGGCGCCGGGGCTCCCCCTGCTTTTCCTCCTGAGGTGGGCGAGGCCGAGCCCACGGAAGCCCCCGGCAGCCCTGCCCACACTCCCAGCGACGACGGCGGCCGCGGCGCCCGGGCGCCCGCCTCACGGTGGACGCCCAGGACGGACGGCTGCGCCCCTCCCTCGGCAGCGCCGGGGCCCCCTTCTGCAGACGGGACGGGTGCGGGGAGAGTGGCCTGGAGTCGCCTCCCGGACGACTGTGGCGAGCGCCCGCACCGCTTCCCTCGCTCGCCCGTCCCGCACGCGTCCGGGCGCGGCCGTCCCTGGGCGCACGGAAGCGGCGCGGGGGCGAAGGCTCGAAGCTCGGTTGGGCGGCCGCGCACGGCTGGGCTGCCGGGCGGCGACCGGGGTGACGGCCCCCAGGGAGCCCCTGTGGGAGGAAGAGCGTGGTGACCCTGACTGGATCCCGACAGAGACTGCGCTCTGCGCGCCCTCTCGCTGGTTGGGGTTCTCAGTCTCGCTCTCTCCTCAAAGCGATTTCAAAGCTTTGGGGTTAAGAAGATTAAGTATGAACATGACACGAAATCTTTTCGTTTAAAAAATGAAATGGGGCAGTTGCTTACAAGCCTTCATTGGTAGGCCTGAGTACTTTTGAGTCAGAAAATGGATCTTTTTCTTTTCCCCCCATACAGTGGCAACTTTCTTGTGGTGCTGCTCTTCTTCCCCGCCCCTCTCCCCACCCTCTCCCTCTCCTACCTAACCCAAATTTGCCTCCAGTTCTGTGCACTGGAGGATGACCGTGAACTTCTGCTCCTCCTGCCGCCACTTCGCACCTGGGATGGCAAAGGGTGTGCCACCGCTGCGGATTTCCTTTGGTGCTGAGGATGGAGCCTGGGGTTCCATGCACATTAGACAAGCACTCTACCAACCGAGCGACGTCTCCAGCTCTGTGCAGCTTATGACAGACGTCAATTCCTGATCTCAGAGGTGTAACTTTCTTCCTCCGGTTCGCCTTTATCTTAGCTGCTAGAGTTTACCATTTGCCTGCTCAAACTCTAATATAATCGTCTTCAAAAGTAAAAATAAAAACCACATACAACACAAAGTCACAAAGTAAAAATAAAACAACACCACATACATCAACAACAAAACCCCTAAATGTACTACCAAGACAGGCAGCAGGTTCGAATGTCCAAGCTACAAGCTGTGGGAGCTGGATAGCACCTGCCTCCATCAGCTTGTGGGTGGTGATTGGTCAGGTGGAAGAAAAGCAGGCTCAACCTGACCGTTCAGATGCTAAAAATGCATCTTAAATTAAGGTGTAATTTAGATGCCACAAAATTCAGCTACTTCTGGGGTTTTTAATCTGCTGAAGGCTCACTCCTGATCTGATTTGAAGACATAGCCACCTAATAGGTGTGGAGATAGCTCGGCCGATGATGTGCTTGGCATGCTGGCATGGGAACCTGAGCAGGAAAAGAAAGCCCTTGGGAAGCACATGCGTGTAATCCCAGTGCTGCAGAGGCGGAGGGAGAAAAACAGACCCCATGGCTCCGTTGCCAGCTAGCCCACCCTAATAGGCAAGCTCCAATCCAATTGGGACCTCGCAAGAAACAAAGTAGACATTGTTGAGGAAGGACATTCAAGGTTGACTTCTGGCCTGTATACACGTACAAACATGTCCCCCACCACACTTGAATATCTACACACACACACACATGCACACATGCCAAAAGAAAAACACCATTCCAGAAAGAAATTTAGGATTTACATAGCAGCTTTGAATACAGAAGAAATTTATTTTTTCAGGCTTGATGGGGTGGTACATGCCTGTAATCCCAGCCCTTGGGAGACTGAGGTAGGGGATCATGCCAGTTCCTGGCCAATGTATTAACATATTAGCTAATTTCTCTTAAAAAGAAACTTAGTATTTATTAGCAACTCCTCCTCAGTCCCCCTCCATAGGCAATGTCGTATCAGCTGGTTCTCCAGTCTAGAGGAACAGAAAATACACACACACACACACACACACACACACACACACACTTGTTGGTTTACAGAATAGAGTCTCACACCAGAGGAGCCAAGACCCTGGCAGATGCTCAGTCCATCATGCTGAATGTCTCACCAGTCCCAGGCACAGAAGGCCTGGAAGAGTCCTGGAGACTTAGTTAGGGTCTTGAGTCTGTGTTGGAAGTGTTGTGATGCAGCTGCCCTCACTCCCCCTGACTGACAGCGGAACTTCCTTGTGGTCTGTAATTGACAAGGATGTTTGTGTTCTTTCTGGCCTGTGGGTCTCCACGGAAGGAGTAGAGGTATAAAAGGTTGCTGGGCAAACTAAAGGTTGCTTTTCTTCCACCTGAAAAGAAGCCTCGGTGTCTCAATCCCGGCACCACTCCCACCCCGCCCCTAGTCTCGGCTATGCAGGCTGCACTGGCTGCACCAGGAAGCTGGAGAAGATGGTTCTAATACCAGCAAGGGATGTAGTAAGAAAGGCTAGATGAACTTGCCTGTAGGGTGAAGGCAAGCAGGCAAAAGGCAGGCTTTCTTCTTCTATGCCCTTTTTAGCTAGCTGGGCTGCAGCCAGAATGTGCCCACAGCGCTATCAAGAAAGTCCCTCATGAAAGTGTCCGGCAGCTCATCTTCTGCTTTGTTCGAGATCCAATCAAGTTGAAAACCAAGTTTGGCCATCATAGCTGCAACCCTGTTTTGTTTTTACATGTTTGTCTGTTCTGGAAGTTTTATGTCATTGGAATCACACGCGTGGCCCTTTCTGTCTGTCTGTCCTCTTAGCATCCTCTCTGAAATCCATGCGCGCTGCACGCATGCGTACCCTTCATCCACATTACATTGTCCGGTGATATTCCCTTGTACAGTGCCCATGTGCAGCTGATGACATTTGGATCACTCCCACTTTTGGGGTAGTTATAAAAATATTGGGAATATTGGGAAAAAGTTCTTATGTGGATATATGTTGGACTTTCTCAAGACTAAGATGACCAAGTCACGTGGTAACTCAGTTTTAACTTTCTGAGAAACTGACAACCCCTTTTCCCACACTGTCCGTACCGTTGTACAGCAACAGCATGCCAGGCCCTCCACACCCGGACACTGCTGGAGTTGGGTGTCTTGACTCACAGCGCCTATGCATGCTTTTGTGTTGCGGTTCTCTAGCAGCTAAAGATGTGGATCGTTAGCTAGGTGTGAGAACATGCTGGAAATCCCAGAACTTGGGAAGTGGAAGCGGCAGGGCAAGGGGTTTAAGGCCAGCCACCTGAGAGACCGTCTTAGTTACTGCTCTATTGCTGTGAAGGGACATTATGATCAGGACAATTGTAAAATAAAGCATTTAAGTGGGAGCTTATTAACAGTTTCGGGGAGTTAACCCACTATTGTCGTGGTGAGGAGCACGGCAGCAGATAGATAGGCATGGTGCTGGGGCACTGAGACTTGCTCTGGCATAGGCTTTTGACGCCCCAAAGCCAACCCCAGTGACACACCTCCCCCAGCAAGTACCCACCCACTGCAACAAGGCCACACTCTTAATCCTTCCCAAACAGTTCTACTAACAGGTGACTAAGCATTCAAACATATGAGCCTATGGGGGCTGGTCTCATTCAGAGGTTTTTTTGTTTGTTTGTTTGTTTTGTTTAAGACATGGAACATCCCTTTGCTATTTGTATCATTTTGGAGAACTATTTCAGATTGTTTACTCCTTTTTGGTTCATCTTGTTACTGACTTGTAAAGTTCTTCCCATATTATTACTTTTAAAAAGCAAGCAAGGACCAGAAAGATGGCTCAGCAACCACCGTGTCTGAGAACCTCAGTTCTGTCCCTGGGACCCATAGTAGAAGGAAACAACTGATTTTTTCGAGTGCGCGCGGGCGCACACACGCGCGCGCGCGCACACACACACACACACACCACTCTAAATAAATAAGTGTAATTAAAATTTTAGTAAACAAAAATTAAGAAATGAAACATTTAGAAACTTACTCAGACCCCGCACTGGAAGTGGAGGAGCTCGGCACTCAGGTATTGGGTTAGATTACAGACTGTCAGCAACAGCACAAGTCTCTAGTCTCCCAAGTCTCTAAGACTCCAGCGCACTGGTTCTCAAACCTGTGGGTCGAGACCCTGTTGACAAGCCTCTATCTCCAAAATTACCTATATTACAATTCATAGCAGAAGTAAAATTACAGTTATGAAGCAGCAACGAAAATAATGTTATGGTTGGGGTCACACACCATGAGGGACTGTATTAAGGGGTCGCAGCATTAGGAAGGTTGGGAACCAGTATGCTAGGGGATCATGGAGAAATGACCAGGTTCTGGTCCCTGAGCTTTGGGACCTCCTTTTCCGATTTCTGTTGGGGACTAAATGAGGTTGTGTAAGAGCCCTCTCATCGTGACCCCAGGCAGGCCAGTGAGGCACCTTGGGAAGTTTCGGCTGAGCCTATACCTGGGAGGTCTTTGTGCCTACCTCTGTCCGAAAGACCGTACACATTTCCGTGGGCCAACAGGAAGTTTGAGCAGTCTATGCCCAGTTTCCCCATCAACCTTTTCATCCACTCCGAAGGGTTTTCTTGGCTGCTTTTGGCTTTATTTAGATTTCTTTGCCCACAAAGCTGTTGTTTCTCCCCACAGTTGGGAACATTTTAGAGAAAAATGTTTCTCTTTAATATTTAGCACTTTAGCTGGGCCTGGTGGTGCATGCAAGTAATCCCAGAACATGAGATGTAGAGGATTGGAATATTTAGAATTTAAGGCCATCTTTGACTACCGAGTGCATTTAAGGCCATCCCACACTACAGGAGACCTTGTCTCAAACGACCAAAACAAATCAACAGCAGTAATATTAATAAGGATGCTAATAGTAATACAAATATCAACACTAGTCTTAAGCCAGCTGTTAACTTGAGCACTGTGGTGGCAGAGGTAAGTAGTTCTCTATGAGTTTGAGGCCAGCCTAGTCTACACATGAGCTCCAGGTCAGCCAAAGGTACGCTGACTTTGTCTTTAAAATTAGTAAATAAGC